TTTAAAAATAAATATTTTATTTTATTTTTATATTTTATATTATATTTTATTAATTTGAATCTTACATGAAATTTTATATAAAATTAATTATAAATACTATAATTAATAATGTTTAATTTGTGTCTTAAGGTATATATTAGAAATTTTCAGTTTTTATTAAAAACTAAAAATTTACCTTTAATTTATTAGTTATCCAATTAAATTAATTTATTTAACATTGATACTAAAATTAATCTTAAATTTTATATTTTTATATAAATTTATGATAAAAATATGAGATACATGCTAGAAAAATCTGTATGCAATTTAGAACATTAATTAATTTTAAACTTCAGTACGTACCAAAAAAAATTAATTTTAAACTTCAGTGGAGAATAGGAGAGAAGGCAAACGGAGAGACGGAGGGTCAAAAAAAAAAAAAAAGTTTATTCTAACAGTAGAATTAAATGATGGCTTTTTAGTCTTAATAGTAAAAACTAGAAGACTCATCAGATACTACATTAATTACACTTTGTTACTCGATTTAATACTCTGTTACTCAATTTAGTATTTAGTAAGTCGCACCCCAAAGAATAAGTGGCAAAATTCTTCTTAGATTTGTTTAGGACACAAAAGATGAAATAAAATCAAACAATACCAATTTAATTACGCTAAAGGTACGCTTCCGATAGCACTAGCCCTTAAGGCTTAGTGGCATAGCCACGGTGCATTCCCCTTCTCCTGGCAAAGTTTAAAACTTACCCTTGCAAAATACGTTCAAAAAAAAAAAAGTACGCTTCCGATAAGCATGAATGTTTGAATAAAATAACAATAAATAAAATTAAAATTTAAAATTAACAATGTGACATAAATTATATTATTTAAAATATTAAATGATAAATTTTATATAATTTAATAATTTATATTTTTAATTTTATCAAAATTCATAATATCATATATGTCAATTAATTTAATAAAGTAATCTTATGGCATATCATTTATGTCAAATTTTTGGCCTCTATATCATTAGTCATGTGCATTTAACCCTTCAGATTAAGTAGTTTTCGGATCATCTTCAAAGTACAATCCCTTCTCCTTTCTCCTTTGGTGGATTCGAAGTTCGAATTCCATCTTTACCATTTTATTAAAACAAAAAAATATCACTAGTCACGTCAATACGGTTTTCATAAGCGCAAGTGGTCAAATTCATCCATTAATGGTTTTGTCACTAACCACTCCAATCTCCATCTATTCATGACAGCTTATTAAACTAACTTTACAGAAATTTCATCAGACATCAATGGCTATTTTCCCTTAAATGCTTGGGTTTTGAAGGCTTTTAGAAGAAAGGCAAATGGGATCTTCAGAACTCTTTCTGATCTTACTTTCCTATGTTTTTCTCATAACTCTCATTTCTGCTACGAATCTCTACTTCCAATCTAATTGTGTTAACAATGGCAACTTCACCGCCAACAGCTCTTACCGGACCAACCTCAACCTTCTGTTTTCTCAGCTATCCACCACGACAGATTTCAATTATGGGTTCTACAATCTCTCCGTCGGTCGGAGCCCTGACCGGGTCAACGCAATCGGACTTTGCAGGGGAGACCAAAAAGAGGACGTTTGCAGAAGTTGCCTGAACGACACCATCTCCAAACTCAAGCAGCAATGTCCCAAATACAAAGAAGCAATCGGATGGTTGGAATTCTGTACGTTACACTACTCAAGTCAACAACTCTTTGGATCCATGAAATCCGACCCTGAACAGATTATGCATAATGAGTACAACGCGTCGCATGTTGATGGGTTCAATCGAGCGTTGAGACCCTTGTTGACTAACTTGAGGAACCGTGCGGCCGCCGGAGGACCTTTTCTCAAATATGCAGCGGATAACACGACTGCTCCGAGTTTCCTTTCGACAATTTACGCTCTCGAGCAGTGCACTCCCGACCTATCGCAGAAGGATTGCAGCGATTGTCTAACAACGGCAATCGGAAAGATCGATCCTAACTGCAGTGGGAAGATCGGATGCAGAATTCTACAACCCAGCTGTAATTTGAGATATGAGACCAGACCATTTTTTGCAGCAGTAGAAGGCATTCCTCAGCCACCGCTGTCTTTACCTTCTCCACCAGAAGGTAAAGTGTGCTTCTTTTCTTTTCGGGTAATTGTGCTATTAGATAGTTAGACTATATATAATTCAACCTGTGAGTGGAAACTTTTGGGTTGTGCAGGAAATGGAAATGGAAATGGAAATAGGAGCAACAAAACTCGAATAATCATCATTGTCATCATAGCTTCGGTTGTCGGCATTCTGTTACTTGTCCTGTGTATTTGGATCTGTTTAAAACTCAGGAAGCCAAGGGAAATTGTCGAAAGTAAGTAATACTAGTATTTTCGAAATGCACTCCTCCTGCTTGATAATTTCTTTATTCTTACTCCCTTTCCATGTCTTGCTTTTGGCAATTGCAGAAGGAGATAAAATGATCAAGGCCGAGTCTTTGCAATATGACTTAGCCAGCATTCGGACAGCAACTAATAACTTCTCTGATGAAAATAAACTTGGAGAAGGAGGATTCGGAGCGGTTTACAAGGCAATGATGTTATGAATCAGAAGATAACATTAATTATAGTATATCTTTCTGTACTGAATTAGCTTGAAATTTGGTATTCATTGAACTTAAATTTAGTTAGTACCACTCCGTTTTATATATAGGGCAACCTTCCAAAAGGACAAGAAGTAGCCGTAAAAAGGTTATCTAGTGCTTCTGGACAAGGAGACTTAGAATTCAAAAATGAGGTCCTTTTAGTAGCCAAACTTCAACATCGGAATTTGGTCAGACTCCTTGGTTTCTGCTTGGAAGGAGATGAAAGGCTTCTCATCTACGAGTTTGTCCCAAACACAAGCCTTAATCATTTCATTTTTGGTATGTGCATGCGTTTTAGATTTTGCTCTTGATTGAGATTTCAATTATATTCATAAATAATTATATTGAGTTTGCGTTTTTGAGGGGTTTACATACACCTTTATGTTCTAGTCATCTGCAAAGCCCTCAACCTCTTTAAATTCATATCCTGGTTACTGGTCCTTTTTTTGGTTAGTGACATACTCTCATATGAACTATATATGAACATATAGATCCAATCAAGCATGCACAATTGGATTGGGAAATCCGTTACAAAATCATCGAAGGCATAGCTCGTGGCCTTCTTTACCTGCATGAGGATTCTCGTCTTCGAATAATTCACCGTGATCTCAAAGCAAGTAATGTTTTATTAGATGAAGATATGAATCCTAAGATTGCAGATTTTGGCATGGCAAGATTAGTTGTAAGAGATGAAACACATGGCAATACCAGTACCATTGTGGGAACTTAGTAAGTATTAAAAAGAGTAAAACTTTGAATTGTTTCTTATACAAATAAATGTCCAATTAGCTCCGTTCCTTATTGTTGGCTACATGAAAGGACCAAGAATGGCCTTTTTATGTCTTCCATTAAGAAAATACTAGAACATAAGTTTATCATTTTATCTTGAAAATGATCCCATTGTTGTTGATATACTTGTAGCGGATACATGGCTCCAGAGTATGCAATGCATGGGCAATTCTCAATAAAGTCAGATACCTTTAGTTTTGGCGTGTTACTTTTAGAAATCATCAGTGGACAAAAAAATAGTTGTTTCCGAATTGGGGAGAACATAGTGGACCTACTAAGTTATGTAAGTATAACAATCTATACTTATTTTATGTTTGTTTCTTGTCTTGTGACAAATAAAAGTTCAAATCTTAGCGGGTTCTCACTTTGACGCCTCATGTGTGTGTTTTTGTAACTTTTTGCAGGCATGGAAGAACTGGAAGGAAGGGACAACATTAAATCTCCTAGATCCAACTTTAAGAAATGGTCCAACAGCTGAAATGAAGAGATGCATCCACATTGGGTTGCTATGTGTTCAAGAAAATGTTGCTCACAGACCAACCATGGCTTCAGTTGTTCTCATGCTTAGTAGCAATTCAGTTAGTCTCCCAGTGCCCTCTCAACCAGCATTTTTTGTACACAACACCAATGCATCAGACATGCCGTTCTCATTTGGCAGTAATTCATGGGTATCAAACACGAGGAGCTCAGACGAACAATCTGTCCCCTTGTCAAATAATGATGTTTCAATCACAGAGCTATATCCACGATAGTGTTTGAGATTCAAAGCTACAATAAGATTTGTATTATCAACCTGGTTCAAAATAATGTTAGAATTCGGTAATTAGATGCACTAGCATCTAATACTAGTTCTTGTAAGCAAAACTACTTCCAAGCACAAAAATACATTTATGATTTGATTCGGGTACTGGTTTTCCTTGTATAATTTGATAGGGTGTATAATTTGGTATTGGTGTCTTTCTTGTGGGCCAAATTACTTCCATTTACTGATTCACTGTAACATTTTATGGTCTTGGCTTATTCCATCTCAATCAAATTGACTTGTGTAAGGTTTTCTTATGCTTCATATACTAGAAATTATGATTGTTAAATTAATAGAGAACAGTTTCTACTTCTAGGACACAAAGGAAGGAGATGTCCCAAAATCAGTTCATCACAGACATTTCCCAACGCAGTAAATATGTTGATTTATTCAACATGAAATTCAAGTCACGCAAAGAGGCATCCACAATATTTTGCTTTTCTCTTTCACATGGAAGATAAATCCAATCTCTCTTACTGTTTCTCCATTTCTGTTACCGAGCCCAAATTGAAGTTTGTTTCAAGAAGATGACTCAAAGTCATAGGTAATGCAGGTAAAAAGGTATTTGAAAAATAAAAATACAACATGAATGATACTTCTTCTATTTCAAATAATTCAAAGCTTTTATATTCATTAACTTGTAGTTACATTTCCCAGGTTGTCCAAAATACATAAATCCTTATTTCGGCTGCTGCATTTGGTGGATATATTTGGTGGATATATGGTTCTAGAGTATCTTCTAAATGTGAATTTTTCAATTAGTTAAGTCTAATGTTTATAGCTTTGGTATGATGGCTCTTGAGATCATCAGTGGCTAAAAATCTATCTCAGTTATAAAGAAGAATTAACCATTGCAAATTAATTAATCAAAAGGAACTCTTTCCTTTTTTTTTTTTGTTTTGTTGGGTCAAAAATTAATGAAAGCATTTGTCCGTTTCACATCTTTCTATCTTTCTTTCTTTTTTCTTTTTCGCTGTACGCTACCCAAAAGAAAGAAAGAGAACCAGTTAATTGGAGAGAAAAAAAAAAAAGGGTCGCCTGGTTATTCCCAGAATCCGGCGCAGTCACCGGACTCCGGCAGAATTCCAGCCTAGCTCTGCAGTTTCTGGCAATTTCACAAAAATTCAAGAAAAATTCCAGAAAATTTCTAAAAATAGGAAAACAGATCCTAGGCATAAAACAAGTTAAACAGAGTTTGTTTGTACAATAACTTCAACGATTTCAAACCTCAATTCCAGAAAAATTCAACCACAACAATCATCAAACAAAAATTTCAGAATAAATGTACACAAATCTAGGAGCAAAAATCAGATTCTCATTCAATATTTAAGCATGATGTACACGATATGAATCAAGAACAAAATACCTAAGTTCGGCGACACTTCTAGATTCCGGAAACAAACTCGAACTTCCCTTTTTGCCTTTGATTCCTCAAGCCCGATAATCTCAGTACTCTCTGATTTATTTCTCGCACTCTTTCTGCCTCTCTTCAGTTTTTTTCTTCTCTTTTTCTTTCTTCTCTTCCTTCTCTCGGGTTTTTCCCCTTTTTTTTCTTCTTCCCTCCACCCGAAAAGCTCTCTCCTTTTTACAGGCAAAATCGGAGTGATCCGATTGCCTTCCTTCCTTCAATCCCGACCGTTCCTAGTCCTGGATTTACCGCCCGCCTAGCCTTAGAGTTGCCACCCACCTAAAGCCCTAGATTCCTTCAACTTGCTTCAGATCCATGACTTGAGGGGATGAATGGCTTGGTGACAAGGCTTCCACGGAGATCCCTTCACATGGAATGAAAGAGGAAGGCACCAATTTGGAGAGGACGGGAGAGGAATCCATCCTGCAAGTGGCGGAACAAGAGTAAAGATCCGCTGTTTATTTCTTGCGGATCAAAACGACGTCGTTTCATCGGTCTTTGCCCTTCTGTTCAGGAGTTTCACCCGACTGACACTTGGGTCCCTCACTTTAGACCGTGTAATAATTAGGTCCCCGCAAAACAAAACCCAGATTTTAAAATTTTTTAATTAAGTACAAATTGTTAATAAACTGGAATTAATCTTTGGTTTTTCTTCGACCAATTTCAGAATTAATTTCAAAATCATATTAAAACTCAAATAATTTTGTGAGCACAGGAAGATGACATCAGCTGATATGGTTGGTCAAATAATGAGTTATTTGTTCAAGTCAAAATCTTTATGAGTGGATTTATCTTCTTTTTTGTTTGAGGGTAAATCCGTCTGTGTCACTATACTTTGAGAGTGGATTTAGGCATTTTTCCAAATATGAATTCTAAAATTATAGATTTTGGCATGCAGGTTATTAGTAAGAGATGAAACATAAGGTAATAGCAGTAAAATTGTAGGAACTTAGTAAGTATAAAAAATAATGAAAATTTGAATTGTTTCTTATACAAATAAATATCCAAGTAGCTTTGTTCTACATTAAAAGCATGAAATTACCGAGAATGGTTTTCTTATGTATTGCATTTAGAAAATTTTAGAACTTGAGTTTATTTTATATATATATATATACATATATATTTTGAAAATGATCTAGTTGTCATTGATATACATGCAATGGATACAAGGCTTCATAGTATGCCATGCATAAGCAATTCTCAATAATTTAAGATGTCTTTAGTTTTGGTATGTTACTTTTAGAAATTGTCAGTGATAAAAGAAATAGTGTTTTTGAAATGCGGAGAACATAGAAGACCTACTAAATTATAGGCTTAAGTATTGGAAAAGGACCCCAACTTTTACCAAATTCTCAATTGAGGTCCTCAACATTTATTATGCTCAATCAAGGTATCAAACTCATGCAAATTCTCAAATAAGGACCCAATTGGATGGAATCCTAACCATCCGTTAAGTCTAACATAACGCCCGTTATAATCCGTTATACACTCAATACGTGGCATGCCAACTAGACCCACAATGCTGAACGTAAAAAACTTGTCCAACGTGGCATTTTATGGCAGATCTTACCCTCCATAGACCAGGTGGGTCCCACAAGACTCCTTTTCCCATTATCTCTTTTTCCATCTTTGATTATTTTATACTTATTTAATATAAAAACCCTAAAACTTTTGCCTGCAACTAGGTCAATGGAAAACGACTTTTGAGAATTTCAAGAAGTCAATTTGAGGCTTTTACTGGTTGGTGGGGTCTTTTAAACAACTTTTCTTTATATTTCTGTGTGGATTCAACAGCATACAGGTATGATTATGTGGTTTTATTTGAGTTGTTGAATGATTTTAATATTTTTATTAATTCTTGAATTTATTTTCTGATTTAAATTTTTTGTCTCAATTGCAAATGATTTCTTTAACTTAGTTTGGTCAATTTATTTAATTTATCACTTTTTTTATTCTTAATCACTTATATTTTTTTATTGTGTCTCATTAGATTTGGGATGTTGCAGTGTTTCCGTCTTTAATCAACTTTTTTCTCAATTATTTTTACATTTTGTTGGAATGTTTATATATGTGTTTCCACTTATTTTTACAGCATGGGTGACAAAAAATTGACCTTCTTCCATGGAGGAAATTTCGCCCAAGTTCCCAATTTGGAGTATGTTGGTGGGGATAAGTATGTCCTTGACAATATTGATGAAGACAAGTTAAGCTATTTTGAGATTCGGGACATTGTAAGGGAGGATATGAAACTAGAATTTACAAAATTATATTATAGAATTCTTGAAGTTGATTTAGAGCATGGATTGGTAGAAATTAAATCGGATGGTGATGCATTACAGATTGCATGGCACTTAATTGAACATGGTTCTGTAGACATTTATGTTCATAATGGACTTGGGCACATTCTATTTAATGTAGTTAATGTTATTAATGAGGTTAATGAAGATGTTGATTTGGAGCAGTTAAGTTTTGATAAAGAGGAGTTTTTTAATGAATTAGTTGATGTGCATTTGATGAATGAAGAGTTGGACCACGTTGGACTTGAATGTAGGAATGCAAGTGGTATCATTAATGGTGGTGTTTGTGCAGATATGGATCAAAGAACTCGAGATGGGTTTTATGTTGAGATAGATGTCCTGAGTGGTAGAGATGATGAAGAGCTAATTAGTGCATATGGGAATCAGGCTCAGTTTTGGAAGCAAACACATGCTCTGGATCCTGCAGATGGTATAGAAATTCCAATAACCCTTGACAAAGGTAAGCAAAAGGTGGATCAAGAAGCTTGCTATCTAGGAGGTTATGATCAATACACTTTATCTGATTCGGGGACTTCTATAGCGAGTTCTGAAGGGGAGAGGGATTCAGATTATATTGACAGTGATGATCCAGGGGAATATGTCTCAAATTTAGAGCTTGAATTATTTGAAACTGATGATGCTGTTAGAGAGAAGACAGTAGGTCCAGTTTATGATCCTAGTTGTAAAATTCCACATTTTGAACTTGGGATGACATTTGAAAACCACTTACAGTTCAAGAATGCTTTATTCCACTATTCTACATACAAAGGCTTTGCACCAAAATGGCTGAGGAATGCTCCTGACAAGCAAAGAGTGATATGTAAGGCTCCAAATTGTCCATGGTATATATCTGCAACTCTTCAAAAGAGAGATGGTAGCTTCAAAGTTGTTGCACTTGTTAAAGAGCATATTTGTATCAAGGATAACAAGAACCCTATGGTAACTGCCAAACAACTTGCAAAGCATCACAACCAAAGAATTAAAGCTGTACCAGGTATTAGAATACATGAACTAATTGATTTCACAAGAATTGAACTCAATGCATTGGTGAAGAAAGATAAAATGGCAAGAGCAAGAAGAATGGTTCATCAAGAATTGGAAGGTAATTACAAGGATGAGTTCAAGGTGTTGAGAGGGTGGGCAAAATTGTTGCTAGAAAGCAATCCAGGCACTTCTATTCATTTTGAAGATGTTAAATACCCAACTGACCCAATACCAGATTTTAGGAGAATGTATGTCTGCATTGCAGCTTTAAAACATGGATGGTTGGCTGGTTGTAGGCCAATTATAGGTATTGATGGTTGCTTCCTCAAGGGCATTTGCCAGGGAATTTTATTGTCAGCTGTAGGAAGAGATGGAAATGAGCAGATGTACCCTATAGCATGGGCAGTAGTGGAGTCTGAAAATAAGGATTCTTGGATATGGTTTCTAAGGCACTTGAAAGTTGATGTCAATATGGTGGATGGATTTGGACTTACAATTATATCCGATCAGCATGTTGTAAGTATATTTATGTAGCAATTATTTTAATTTTAGTTTTTCCATAAATAATATGATATGGTTTTTATGGATTGAAAATTAAGTTGTTTCTTTCTTTATATCTCACCAAAAGATTGAGTATCCTTCACACAGTTTTTTAGTTTTCTTATTTATGCTTCCAGATTCTCTTGTAAAAATAATTTGCATGTAAAATTTTCTTTATCTAAGTGTGTTTATGTAGTAAGTGTATTTATCTATTATTATATGTTTTATAGGGCATTTTAGCAGCTGTACATTCAGTTTTGCCTAAAGCAGAGCATAGATATTGTGCTAGGCATATATATGCAATTTGGGCAAAAGACAATAATAATAGAGGTGATGAAAAGAAGCAGCACTTTTGGGTTACAGCTAGGTCTACTTATGAAGAGGATTTCAATGATAATATGGGCCACATGAAGGGTTTGACACAAGCAGGACATGATGCACTTGCAAGCATAGAACCAAAGAGGTGGTGCAAGGCTTTCTTTATGACTCATTCTAGGTGTGAGATCATTGATAACAACCTCACAGAGACATTCAATGCTTGGATTCTTGATGCTAGATGCAAGGCTATTTGTAGCATGAATGATGAGTTGGTAGAAAAATTGATGGTAAGACATGGTGAGAAAAAGACATATGGTAGAAAGTGGCCTACAGACATTGCTCCAAGAGCATACAAAAAATTGCAGAAAAATGTTGACATTTCAGCTTATTGCCATCCATGTCCTAATGGAGAAACATCATATAAGGTGAGACATAATCTAGAATATTTTGCTGTTGACTTTGCAGATTCAAGTTGCACTTGTCAAGCATGGCAATTGTCTGGGATCCCTTGCCCACATGCATGTGCTTGCTTGATTGCTCAAAGTCAAAATGTAGAGGACTATGTCTCTCATTACTACAAAAGGGACATATATATGGAAGCATATAAGGAACCAATATATCCTTCAAAAGGTGGCATGAAAATATGGTCACAAGTTGGGTGTGCCCCAATGAATCCACCTCCATTTAGGAAGCAAGCTGGTAGACCTAAGAAAAAACGAAGAAGAGATAAAGATGAGCCTAAGAAGGTTAGCAAGCACAAGACAGCAATGTTGAGGCTTCCTAAGAAGGGTTCTAAGTGCACTTGCACAATTTGTGGAATTCAAGGACATAACAAAGCAGGCTGTCCAAAAAAGAATTTGGTAATTGAACCAACCACTCAAGTAGAGCCTTAAAACCCCAAAATTTTGATTTTAAAAAGTGTAAAGGAAATTTCTAATTTAATATCATGAGGTTTTTTTGCAGCCAGCACTTAATACTGAGGAAACAAATGCATTGGGGAAGGAAAAAGGCAAGGGAAGAACCAAAAAGAAGGAAAAAACAACAATAGACAAAGTTGGAGCAAAGAATAATGGCAAAGGAAAGGTAGCTTATGAATAAATATTGTTTTTTTTTTTTTTTTGTCTAATGCTATATTATTATAAAGTCTAACACTATATTTTATTTTTCATTTATAAGGCTGATGTTGGAAGAGAATCTGGTTATAACACTAAGGAAAAAAATTCACATTATAGAAGGAAAAGGCTAGTTGGTTATGGTATTTCAACCAACCAATTTACGGGGGATATAATTTTGAATGTAAGTGCATATTTGTTATATATTTGTGTTCAATGTTTTCTAGGATTTAAATTAATCGTTTCGTTTATGATATTATTTGGTTTGATTGTATGCTTGGAACAGCCTGGAACTCATTCTGAAATACTTGTATCAAGTGGAAGCCAAAGAGAGAGAAGAGGACCACAGCAAGGGTTTAGGGAGATTAGACCAAGGTCTGAAGTTGGAGAAAGTTCTAAGCAGGGAAGCCAAAGAAAAGGCAAAGGAAATAATACCTCTAAGAAACAGAATTAAAGCTTTTGGTTGGCTTAAATGTGTTTTAAAAAGGCTTTTTTGTTATGTGAAGTTAAGTTATGGCAAGGAAAGACTTTAGTTTATGTGTACCTAAATTTGATTTTGGGCACCTTCAGAGCATCTTCTATCTGGTTTGGAGTTTGTCTTGGACAGACAAAGCAAACTTGGTTTTGTGTAGTTTGGGCATTTAAATGGAAATGAAAGTGTTCTATGTTCCTTTTAGTTGAGCTTTACCATAAAAAATAT